AGAGAGAGAGAGAGAGAAAGGTCGATAAATCGCGTTAGCGGAAAACGCGCTTGTCTCGAGCTACTTTGCATAGGTATACATGGAAAAATATGCAAACATTTTAACGGGGGTATTACACGTTAAACTAGTCGCTCGGTTGGCTCGAATCAATTAGAACTCTTAGCGGCGCGCATGAAGACGACCCACCCGCCGCCGTTATCCCGTCGGGATTCAAAATTTGATTCCCCCTTTATATCGCAGACGAGGTAATGGAGGGCCCGGTACCTTGCGGCGGCTCGGAGGGCTTCCAGTGCTCCCGGGTCGGACCCAACTACTATTGCAGCAAACAGTTCTGGGAGGGCCCTAACTACGGCATCACGAATTTTGACAACTTCGGACTGGCCATGCTGACGGTCTTCCAATGCGTCACCCTCGAGGGCTGGACGGATGTACTTTACAATGTAAATTTCCGACACAATCGCCAACACGACATAACAATCTTGTCTCCAATTAGAGATTCTGAACGTAAAACGCCCACAGACTTGCGTCATACTTGAATTAATTAATTAATAATGATATAATTATTAAAATTTATATTGTGCGCTATTTCGAAATCTATATTGTTCTGCATTAAATAACTGCATTAGTGCGTCTGAATGATTAGCAGCGTTTCAATTAATCGTTTTTTTTTCTTCTAACTTTATGCAATAGAACAAGATTGATTGCTATTTATATATTGCTCATCGACTTCTTGTAAAACATTCATCTTGAACGTTGAATCGTAAAAAAATTCGTGGTTTCTCAAGAGATTAATCCTTTGCGCTCCAAATGCCAACTTGGTTGAGTTTAAGAATTTTGGCATTCTATTTCGCATGCCATCTCAGTTGGCAAATAGAATAAAATTGTGATGGCATGCAAACGTTAATTTGGCTCTGTCCCCAAGCAATTGTTTTTAAATATCGCACAATAATTGATCATAAAAAAGAATACCACTCATTATATTATTGTCGGGATGTAATGTGTTATTTCTTAATAAAAATCTGCGGAGCACAGAGGGTTAAATACATTCTCAATTGCGCTTTTCTATCCTTCATTTATCTTTTTAATTGTTTTGTCCTCTAGATCGAGGATGCGATGGGAAGCTCGTGGCAGTGGATATACTTCATTTCGATGGTCATTCTCGGGGCTTTCTTCGTGATGAATCTAATTCTCGGTGTGTTGTCCGGGTAAGTGTGGAGAGATTCTGTGTCGCACGGACAGTTTTTAATCGCGAAAAAATAATACATGGAATATTTCATCTAAATGCGGCATCTCGTGATGTAACAAGACGATCAGCCTTCGAGTCTCTGCGATTGTTGGAACAATCCTTTTAGAGGATATAACCCAGTTAATCGGCTTGCGACATCTATCCTTGTGAAGTTTTGTAATTCTCCACGAGGGGACAAGATAAAAATATCTTTTTCTTAGGTTCATACACACACATACGCATGCACACACTTCATTGCGCATCGGTAAAGGATGCACGGTTAATCGAGACGTGAAAACGGTATCGATGATAAACGCGTTTAACTTCCTTCGCTTTTTACGTTTTATCCATCGTTTCACGCCAAGCGCGCAAACACTTATTATCGGAAGCGCCGCTAAAAAAAATGTTGAAATGTTTCGAAGATTTGCTCGTACCGAGTCATCAGAATGCTAATGAAATGCTTGAAATATATTTTTTCTATTTTCGAAATTCTACGAATTTCAACGTTTAAAAAAGATAAAAGTAGCTCTGCAAAAACAATTCTAATTAATTAAAATTTCTTTTACTTTTTATAATTGAATACGATCTCATGTATTAAAATTTGTGTCAGAAATGTTTCATTAAAATGCGTTTTTTCATAAAAAAAGCATTATTCCCGGAATAATTAGATCCTTTGTGGCATGGATCGCCGCATCGATTTTACATATAAAAGAGAAGAGATTGTAAACGAGAAGGAGCGTCGTCACGTTTCACTGAATGTTTCTCGATACGCATACGGCGCATTCATACGATCTTATTCGTCTCGCCCTCGTTCGAGGGAGAAACGAGACGTCGAAGAAGCGTAGGCAAATAAAAGAAGTCCCCTTTTCATGCGCCGCTCGATTTCCGTTTCATTGCCATCGAATGTTCCAATTACGCGTCTCGCGCGTCGTATTTCTAATCACAAAGCAACGCGATCGTACATGCACTTGTCCCACTTGATGCAGTGAGTTCTCTAAGGAGAGAGAGAAGGCGAAGGCGCGTGGCGACTTTCACAAGCTCAGGGAGAAACAGCAGATCGAGGACGATCTCAGGGGTTATCTCGACTGGATAACGCAGGCCGAGGACATCGAGCCGGAGACCGACGAACCGAAGCAAGACGGAAAAAGTACGTATGCGGAAAGAATTTTATATCAAGAACTTTCGAAATGGAAAAGTATGCTAGCAATCAGCGTTCCTGTAGAAAGTAACTTGAGACGAACACATTTTATGCAATGTATTACACATATCATACATTATGAGAAAGAGGAAATGATGAAAATAAATTATAAGTATATATTGATTATCCAAAATGATATTTTAGACAAAGAAATGAATTGGTGTTACACATATCGCGCATTTATAAATTTGGAAAGTTGTTTGTCAATTTTTTTTCTAATTTAAAATATCAATTATGGTAAATAATATATTATATTTATCTAATATAATTTTTGATAAAAAAAATGAATTTGATTTGCGACTCGTGATATCGCGTGTTTATGCAAATGCGTAAATTGAATTTAAAAAGTCGTTCGTTCTCAATGCAGCTTTCCTCCAGCTGAAAGATGCTAATTAATTGACGGAGTTTAAATGTTTAACATTATACAGCTAAGCAACAGAACGAAATAGAGAGTACGGACCAATTGGAGGGTGACGAGGAAGGAATCCAGCAGGAGTCCGTTTGGAAGAAGAAGAAACGGGACTTAGAGAGGTAATTTTGACACTGGAAATCGCCTTTCGAAATTTCCACTTTGAACTACGTATAAAACTATTTTACAATCATCATCGACGCGAATATATCGTCCGAGTTTCCAAAGATAGATTGTACTCTTTCGCGCTGTCGCGTTTTTGCACGTACGTGGAAAACGCCAGTAAAGATCAAAGAGTCATTTATCCAACGAAGTTCAAAGCATAAGTGGCTAAGCGTTTGTGTATACGTGCGAGCGGGAGCGTGCGAAGTTTAGACTACATGGCATTGTGACGCGAATTCGCAGAGTGAACAGGCGGATGCGGAGAGCCTGCAGAAAGGCTGTAAAGTCCCAGGTCTTCTATTGGCTCATCATAGTGCTGGTTTTCTTGAATACCGGCGTTCTCGCCACGGAGCATTACAATCAGCCGCACTGGTTGGACGACTTTCAAGGTAAATACCGCCTTACCGCTGCGGTTAGCGGAAATAAAGTCGATATTTGACTAGTGTTTACTTTTAATTATAAACCGCCCTGTCTTTCGTAATGCCTTTCGTAACGCGAACCTCTCTACTCATTTGCCACCAGAGATCACGAACATGTTCTTCATCGTGCTGTTCTCCATGGAGATGATGTTAAAAATGTACAGTTTAGGCTTTCAGGTGAGTGATCGCCGTCGATTATTTTTTAATCATTCTTTTTTTCATATTTCCAATATTTTAAGAAATGTAGCGAAATTAATAAACATCAATATCGCGCGATTCAATCAATTGATATTTATTATTTATGATTAATTGCATATTGCTATTAAGAGAATGCAAGCATCTCGTGAGCTAGAAAGACACACTATTGCTCTTAAGAGTTTTCAATCTTTAGCCGCTGTAATTTCCTCCGCAGGGTTACTTCGTTTCGTTGTTTAATCGTTTCGATTGCTTCGTCGTGATCGGCTCGATCACCGAAATGATACTTACAAATACACATGTGATGCCGCCTCTTGGCGTTTCCGTACTCCGTTGCGTCCGGCTGCTCAGGGTATTCAAAGTAACAAAGTGAGTACAGCGCAGACAAATCTCAATTTTTCAATCAAAATTAATACTTGGTAAAATTGTGTCATGAGTATTGCAATGAGTACAAGTATTGTTGAAGAGAATACACGCAATCACATTTAGGATGCGTGAATTGAGTTTATTCTTTGCAGATATTGGAGATCACTGTCGAATTTAGTGGCCTCTTTACTGAACTCGATACAATCGATCGCTTCACTGTTGCTCCTACTGTTTCTCTTCATCGTCATCTTTGCTCTTCTGGGCATGCAGGTAGATTTTAACGCACCGTATTCAGAGATATCTGATGCAGAGAGATATCCTTATGGATTTTTCAACATTTATTCTGTAAATACAGGTCTTCGGTGGACGATTCAATTTCAGCGACGAGGAAGAAAAAACACGTCACAATTTCGACAGCTTTTGGCAAAGTTTGCTCACCGTGTTTCAGGTATTTAATTATTTTCGTAGAAGAAAAAAAGAGCCTAAACATAGTTTTGCAAATTTTATATCCAAAATTACATTCCCGATTTATCATGAATGTATTTCACTCTTTAATTTTACGCTATTATCTTCGCTTTATTTGCGCGGATACTTTGTAAAAAGTAATTTATTTTCACCCTTACGTTTACAGATATTAACTGGTGAGGATTGGAATGCCGTAATGTACGTCGGAATTCGAGCTTACGGCGGCGTCGCCAGCATCGGCGTCCTCGCCTGTGTTTATTTCATTATTCTCTTCATTTGCGGTAATTGTATCCTTTGTCAGTGAACAAATTCGAGACAAATAATTATTACTCTCTCTCTCTCTCTCTCGCGTGTCATATCAAGAGCGCACTCGCCAGGTATAATATCGATCCGGACTGATTCAATAAATTTTAATCGATCCTTGACAAAGATAGCAATGCAGATATCCTCTTGAACGTGTTCTTGGCTATCGCCGTCGACAATCTTGCTGATGCCGAGTCCTTAACTGCCATCGAGAAAGAAGCCGAGGAGGAGGTGAGTGTTGTTTGAGTGTGTATATGTGATAAATAATATAGTAAAGCACCAATGATTTTGCGGATAATGCGAATCTAATACACGTAACTACATTAGATGCTCCATCAGATCCACTTTAGCATTAAAATTTCATAGTAAGAAGATTATTTTTCCCCATTATGTTATCTAAAGCTTCATAGCTGTCATTAATAAAAAATCTTTGTCTCAGAAAACAAATAATTCTTGTTTTTACTGCAATAATATTATTATTATAGCAATTTATTTGTCTATTGAGTTTCTCTCTTGTTTTTCATGCTTCCATTAAATTAATACAATCAATCTCGAAATATAATCATAGCTTTTTCTTGATGTAGAGAAATTTTGAGATAAAGAAAGATTAAAGCGATGAATTCAAGTATAAGTAATTGCTTTCCTGAAGGGTTTTACAATCGTGTAATTCTTGAACAAACCATTCGCTCCTGATTTCCATAAATGATCCGGCTAATTTGACCGCACGACACTCGAGAAGTGTAAGTATTCACATTACGTGGAGCATTTGTGACAAGTGAATATCACGAGGCGCATTATGGACAATGCCAGTCCACTCGAATGAGTCTGAAGGCATGACGATGACGGCGACGACGACAAGACGACGCCCATCCCCGTGAGGGTAAATGAGCATCGCGTTTAACGCTCGTAAAGGGCGATAAAAAAGGCGATGCTCTAATTTTCTCCTTCTGCCACGTCACATCAACATCGTGACATGCATGACACGTGTGACTATCGAACATGTCGCATCAAGATTCTATCTCATAAAATTTATCGTCCCAATAATATTAATATTATAACGAGGAAAATGGCGTAGCAAAAAAAAACAAACAGAAATTTTAAGGTATTCGGTAGAGCAATTAAAAAAAAACCTATTAACCTAACAGCTTTGAATTGGTGTGAAACTATCTAAATTAGTACGAACGTTGTAAGAGAGTGTTACAACGGAAAGTGGTCGTGTAACATTAGGGCTTCCTTTGTCGAGTGTGCAGCCGTTGCAATTCACAAAGTTACGAACAACGCATTATTACTCGTAAGGTAGCTTAAAACCGCAGCGACAGAGTTTAAAAGCTGGTTAACCATGTTTATAGTTAACAAGCGAATAACATTGAAAAACTGTTAAATGCACAGCGGAAATTATGGCCAGTATTGAATCCATTTTTTAACGAACAACATGCATCTCGTGGTTGCATTCATAAATATTGGATTACATTACGTTGCACACTTCGTTCCATTATCTAATACACCATTTTTGCATTCGATACTTTTAAAATGTTTGCATATTAATTTTTTGCAACTGTTTGTAACTGTTAATATTGTTAATAATTTTTTTAATAATTGAACAGATATAACTGTGTATAAATTCATACATAAATTTTCTCAGTGTTTCGTATTCGTTTTTAATGACAAAAGTACGGAAGTTACGTAACAATGGAATCAATATTCAAATCGAATGTGCGGCGTTATGATTCCTACTGTTGTTTACCAATGGCGACTATATAAGCAATAAAAAAAGTGTGTCGCCTCCTTGAAATGCAAGTTGCATCTCATTGCACTGTTAAATCACGATATTGTGCCAATAGAAAAGTTTATTACTTTTTCAGATCAAATAGTTTATATTGCAAATATTCATGTCGAATGTGACTTTTGATTTTATATTACGTAATATGAAGTAATATGAAGGAATTCATATTTTCTCAATGAAAAATTGACCTTTTCTATATAAGAATGCTGATAAAATATAATTAATTTATATAACAATCATCACAAATCAAATATTGATATAAATGCGTATGTTCGGATTTACAAACGTATGTATCAACTTGCTGCAGAAAGCTTTATATAATAATAATATTAATTGTCGGGAAACAACGTCAGCTATAAAATTTAATTAGTCCAAAATAGATATTCCGGTATTATTCAACAGTACGCAATATAAATGTACTAAAATTTCTTCAATAAATCTTTCAACTATTTTACATTACTGCATTCAAAATGAATAAATTTCATGTTGTACAAAATATCTGGAAATTCTGAAATTTCCAAATATTTTTTCCTGGAATTTACAAAAAAGAAATACTTTGATGGATGCAGATAAAATAATAATTATAATTAAACAATGTTCCATTAAATCAAATATGATTTGACTCTTTCCTCTTATATTGATACGCGCGCGCATTTTCATTTTCTGGGATTTTCGAGCACGTTACAGTTAACCAAATATTTTTTGTATGAGGTCATTACTGCGCCGATTGCTTTTTTTAACCGGATCACTTGATAGTTATCTCCCTTTTTCTATCTTTCAGGCGGAGAAAAATAAATCCCGCAGTGGTTCGCCGGTAAGGGACGAAGTCAGCGGCGAGGCCGGCGATGATGGTGGCGAGGGGACTGGGGGAGAGGACGAAGGAGCTGGGACAGATCTCGAACATGACCCTAACGAGACAATGGAGGACTACGAAGCCGCACTCGATACCGAAACGTAAGCTCTCTCTCGTAATGCAGCATAAGTTGTAATACGACGGCGTGCGTTATTACATTATAACGAAACCAGAGAGCATTATTACGCATCTCTCCTTATGCCATGCTATTATGGCTGGTAATGCACGAGAGAGAGAGAGCTCACAAGAGTCGAAGAACTAAGAACACCTAATTTATTGCTATGCACTTTCGTCGATAATTTTTCAATTTCCAAACTGAATTCATTAAAGACCTGAGCGGCAATAATTGTTAATTAATGTCTCTATTATGCATATCATAAATTCCACTATCTAAAGGGTAATATAAAATTTCTATATCTTTTGTCCCGTCGTGTAATGAATATGCAATACATATTTAATATCTTACAATTGGAAATATAAAGTCATATCTTTTATTTAAAAAATTATTTTTACGTTTTGTATATTGTAAAAAATTCTACATAGCATCTAAATTCATTAAAAAATATATGTTTAAAAATAAACTTGTGCAGAAAACACAATCTATGTTGAATAATCATCATTGATTGCAGATCGGAAAAAAGCGAGGATATGAATACGCACAAAGTGCGACTCAACGTCGAGTCCGACGAAGAAGTGGAGGAAGAGGAAGAGGAGGAAGGCGAACAAGAAGAAATGCAAGGTACGTTCACTACGCCAACTTTCCCGTGTTTCAGGAATTATTAATTCGAAGAAAATTGATTTTCCAATTCTCATCTGGTTATTTTAAAATCTGGATATTTCCGACGGAAATTGTATAAATCGAGTGTGAAGTAGAATTCAGTCAAATTATGACGATGAAAGGAGAAATCAATTTCTTTTTCTAGATGAAGGACAAGAAGTGACGGCTCGGCCGCGAAGGATGTCCGAATACAACGCGGCTGCTAAAAAGGAACCGATTCCGGCCGGTTCGGCTTTCTTCATTTTCTCAAGCACTAATAGGTAGCATTAACTTCTAGCATTTTCTCAGGCACTAACTCTTCTTGATAAGTTTTTTTATATTCAAGCACTAACTTCTTGACAAGTTTTCTTTTATATTCCAGTCAAAAACATATAAAGATAATAGATAACTAAATCAACCGTCTTTGACCTTTTCTCTTCTCAAATATCTTTTTACAAACGACTTGTCTCGATCATGGTTCTTCTCGATTGCGTTTTACAGGTTTCGCGTGTTCTGTCATTGGTGCTGTAATCACAGTTACTTCAGCAACGTGATACTGGTCTGCATTATGATATCCTCTGCTATGTTGGCTGCCGAGGATCCATTGAAAGCCACATCATACAGAAATCAGGTATCCAATCGTGCTGAAAGATAAATCAATCATCGACTCTTTCGCAACACCGTTGAAATATTCATTTCGTCGAAATTTTTGCGAAACTATTGAAATATCTGTTTAAACTAGTTAGCAAAGTAACTGATGTGTGCTTTGTGCTGCAGATATTGACCTACTTCGACTATTTCTTCACTACTGTCTTCACAATTGAAATCTGTCTTAAAGTGGTTTCATACGGTTTCATCTTTCACGACGGCGCGTTCTGTAGGTCGGCTTTCAATCTGCTCGATCTTCTCGTCGTTTGCGCTTCACTCATTTCCGCGACTGTCAGGTATGAATTTTAAATTTATTAAATTTTACATTAATTTCTCGCAATTAAAAAATATAAAAGTGTCTAATTATATTTATAATTATCTCATATTTATTTATAATTTATTTATATTTGTATGAAAAACTTGTATTTAAAATTCAAGAGAATTTTGTTAAAAAACAAAGTCTAATCACTAGAGTCAGTCTTGCTCAAAATATAATTTTTTTTGTTCTGACTAATTTGTTTTATACTGGTGCTATTATTTTATGTTATTGTTGTATATTTGCAGCTCTGGTGCATTCTCTTTCATCAAAGTGCTCCGAGTACTTCGCGTACTGAGGCCGCTACGTGCCATCAATCGCGCCAAGGGACTAAAGGTATCTCTTTCATTTGTTTTATCTACTTATAAGTCCGCTAAAACCGGCCCAATTCACAGCATACGCCCTATAGTATACATAATAGTAACGCCAGAGGCATAATATACCGTAATATCCACAGCTAGCTAAATTAAAGAGTCACTCCCGTATTTCTGCTCTTAATTCAACGTTGATCGCCAAGCGTTCGCGTAGTTGTAATTATTGATACAAATGGTGGAAGAAACCCCGAGCAATTTTTGGAAAAATCGCGCTAGCAGAAACAAATTCTCTGTCTCCATGTACCAAGAATGTTTATTATGCGAGAGTTATCGCATAATAACGAGACGCGACAATTTCTTCGCGAAGACCGATAAAATATTTGTCGTCAAAGTTTTTCAGGCGCGATACAAAATTCACGATATAGAACACCAGCAGATTTTTCAATACATTGCAAAGAGAGGCGTTGCAAGACGTACCTCCACTTTTAACAAGAAATTCATCTTGAGTTTCTCGTTAAAATCTTAACGAAATCCGGCGCGCACTCTATGCCAAGAGAACGCTTTCGCGATTCAAGAGGGCCGCCTCGGATTTATTCGCCGACAAGTAAAAAAAATACACGCTAAGATCATTAAAAGAGACGTGAGCGTTCTTACGCGACACGACGCGCATAATTTCCATCTTTCCACTCACGAAGGGCGAATATATATTGTGATTAATGTTGTGAACCCAGCACGTAGTACAGTGCGTCATCGTAGCGGTAAAGACTATCGGAAACATAGTCCTCGTCACCAGCCTCCTGCAGTTCGTGTTCGCCGTCATTGGCGTACAGCTCTTCAAGGTAGGATTATCGGGCCCCGGCGTTATTTTACGGCCCTAAATAAATTCTCCGAATTCTCTTGTAGTATATACACTAGAGTGGCATAATGTTACCAGTCGATACCTACAGCCCCCCCCCCCCTTACCAAATCTCCGCCCTGACCCACACTCTTTCAATATCTCTCTCTCTTTCTCTGAAAACTTGATTTCAGCATTCATTCGTTTATCCACACTTCTCTTAATGCAACCAGCCAGAAAAATAATTCACCCTCACCAAATTTATCACTATTACTATTACTACTACTACTACTACTACCATTACTATTACGATTGCTATCTCAGTACGCCTTT